GTGATAATAATAGTAATAATGATGGTATTATTTATTTATTATTATTATTATTATTTATTCAAAGAGTGAAGAAGGATTGAAGGCGATTCGTACAGAAGTGCAAATAAACAAGAAAACGACGAGAAAAAGGGATTGAATGAAATATGTGAATTGATGAATTCACCAGCATCTCTTTTCTATTTTGCTTAAATTATTTGAATTTGTTGAAAAAAAAGGAAAAAGAAAGAAAAAAAAAAAAAAACGTTTTTCTTTTTTTTTTTTTTTTTTTTTCCTTTTTCCTTTTTCCTTTTGTTTGTTTTATTTCTTTATTCCCCCCACCCACCCCCTTTTTTTTTTTTCTTTCCTTTTTTATTTATTTATTTATTTTGTGGTGAATCTTTCTTGTTATTGATGGATGAGGATGATAGGTATTTATGTGTTTTTTTATAGTCACTTGGGCACAACTTTATATTACCCTTGTGCTTTTTATTATTATTATTATTATTATTATTATTATTATTATTATTATTATTTTGTTGTTGTTGCTGTGGTCAACATGCATACAAGCACATACGCGTTCATTTTATATATATTTATTTATATATATTTATTTTTCTCTTAGTGTGATATTTTTCTTATTTACTTTTTCTTTCCTGCGGTTTCTCTTTCCTTTTTTTTTCTTTTTTTGTTATTCCTCTAATTTCTTCCTTTTTTTTTCCTTTTCTATTGCTTTTATATACTGTTTATATATATATAATTGATGTGTGTGTATATATATATCTATGGTTATATCAGTCTTCGTCTCTGTTCTCCCAGACATATATATATATATATATATATATATATATATATAACTCATAGACGTACATCCCTTCACACACACACACACTAACGGCTGCACAGAGAAATAGACAAAGAAATAAAGAAATAGAAAAAAAAGAAAGAAAAAAGTAGTATTTGCCATCATGAATGTACGTCCAGTAGATGAGTTAATGGAGTTATATCAAGAACTCACACAACCCAGTAGTCACTACTTAAATAACGTCCAACAACAACAACAACAACAACAACAAAGAGATGGTCTTCGTTCTCATAGTGGTGGTTCCTCTAATTCTCATCATTCCTACAATAGCATGACTGCCGCTCACTGGCGAACAGGTATTCCATCCCCACAAACACAAACAACTAATACTAATACTAATAATACTAATAATACTACAACTATTAATAATACTATTCAAAATGTGAGAAGTCTTACACCGAGTACATATGGGGCGAGTGATAGTCATCACGATGGGCATTTAGTGTGGGAAAAGAGAAGTTTAGAAGAAAAAAGGCGGCGAATGTCAACAGGATTGGTGGAAAGCCGCTGCGCAAGTGCCGTAATGCCAACAGAATTTCAACAGATTAATAAACCACAGAAAAGAGTATGGGAGAAGTATTCCAATATACGTGAAACTGCAAGGGCTGAACTGCACACATTAGAGAATACTAATACTACTACTACTACTACTACTATTACTGGTGAACCCTCACGGCGAACAGAATTATTATTTTCATTCCTACGACAACAACAACAACAACAAGAAGAAAAAAAAGGGGAAAAATATAAAGAAGAAAAAGTACGAGAGTTATTTAGGTGTTGGTTATGTGAGACGGTATGTACAGAGATGGGTTGGTTAACAACCCCCGCCCTCTATCATTCTACAGATCCTAACAAACATCCCAACAAACAATATCCTCATCCTCAGCATCAATATCATCGACTTCAGCATCATCAACATCATGATAATAATGAAGATAAGATAATAATGATGATGATGATAAAGAAAGAGAAGAACAAAGAGAAGAGAGATGATAATTGTTTCCAAATACTCCCAGTAACGTTATTAACACTATGTACACGCTGCAGTGCGGCCTGTTCATTGCCCCTAACAGCCGCACACGCAAATGTCCTGCGAAAGGCCGGCGCTACACGGGCATTGGCACAACGCACCGTCGCGTTTGTAACGGCAGTGCGGGAATATAAACAACTGTTGGAAGTTCTCGCCGCGGATGTGCAGAAAACACGAGAGACTCTTTTTGAGAGAAATGAGAAGAAACGCACAGGCCGACGAATAAGTGGAGAAGATGTGAGAAATATGAGAGAAACACCACCACCATCATCATCATCATCATCATTAGTAGTAATCTCTTTTTGGGATTATCCGCATGCTGTACAGTATAAAGTAATAGATAAACTTATTTCCATGCTGAAATCTACACTGGAATTGGATGTGCTCGCCTCACTTGGAGGGCGGAAACAAATACAGAGTCCAAGAGAGAACACTAACACAATAGCAACAACAACAACAACAATACCATCATCATCATCATCATCATTGTTATTATTATTATTATCATCTCAGGAGAGGGAGGTGTTGCGCTGTGAGCTTGCATGGCTACAAGAGCAATTATCCTTTATCCAGCATAACATGAACGCAGAAACTGGTAGTAATAATAAACTATTAAAGAGTAAAGATACACAAATTCATACGAATATTCATTCTAGACGTGTATTAGACTCTAATAGTAGTAATAGTAGTGATAGTAGTGATAATGAGAGTGAGAGTATAAAGAGAAAATCCGCATTAAGCCAGACTCCAGTAGATGGAATGGAAACCAAAATCCAGCCTTCTTTCCATTCTATAAAAAGAGAAGATAAACAACAAACACGAGATCCCGCACGTAGTGTTGTTGTTGATATTGAGCAGCGAGGTCGAGAGGCACTGGATCGCATGATGGAACGGGCTCTACTCGCACGAAGAGAAAATCATATGAAATCTGATACTGAAATTTATCCATCTACTGAAACAATAAAAGAAACAGAAACCATTACTTCTACAATCTCTACACCTCTGGATATGGATGATATCCTTTTACATTATTTTGAAGGTCGTTTAAAGGATCTACCACGGTTTAAAGTAATTCCCTTCAACAATACAACACAAACCGATGGAAATAGTAAGCATATTACTATACCTTTGAACTCCTTAAGGTATGAAGAAGAAAAGAATTTACCAATAACACAATCCATAAAGGCAAATCACTATACCAATACCAATTCTTCAAATATAATATCTAATGTTCCTCCTGTTTCCACTACTACTACTACTACTACAACTCTTACTACTACTATTGCTGCTGATGCGGATATGGTAGATGCTGTAATGAATGATACTTCTTCTTTACTAGCGAGACTCCAAGAAGAGCAACAACGACGTATAGAGGCTGAAGAGGCTCTTAGCAAAGCTCATCAAAAAATAGCCGCATTGGAATTAACAACAGAGAACATGGCAGAGTCCCTATTAAAGCTAAGATTTGGAATGGAACATCACTTAAATGCTATACAGCAATTTATGCGAACATTAACAATTGTTTCTTCTGAGTTCGCTATGCAGAAGTTACTTTTATTTTCTGATGAAGTAGAAGCCGTACTTCGTCGCACTCAACGGGATATTTATATTGCACATGGCCGATTGGCTCATAGTTCAACTAATATTGCTACTTCTAATTCGCAAATAAAACATAATGACGTACCTATTCAACTGAAAGATCTCTTTCATGAGAAGCATAAATTTCCAACAACTAAAACAACATCAGATGTTGTTAGTAATATACCAGAAACAATAGAAGGTGCTACTCATATCTGTTCTGAGAAGACTGGGACTCCTGCTTCTCCAACATTGTCAACTGTTTCGTTTCCCTTATCTCTTCAATTACTACCTCTAGCAGGTGATGTAAGTGCCATCAAACAGCAGAGGGTATGAAAAGGTAAGAAGGAAAGAAGGAAGGGAATATATTATGTCTGTAAACGAACGGAAAGGGGGTCTCAAAAAAAAAAAAAAAATAAAAAAAAAATGTCTCTCTTTGTACTTTTCTCTGTATTTTTACTTATTTATTAGTTTCCGTTGGTGTTAGTGGTAGTGATGGAAAAAAAAAAAAAAGATTCCTGTGAATACAGGACGACATTGTATTTGTTTCATTTTATTTGGTGACATTGTGATTATAAGAATCTGTACACATATTGCATGTTTGCCTATCTTTTTTTTTTGTTGTTGTGGGTATATTGTATTTTAATACTATATACCTACAGTAAGAGAAAGAAAAACTGTTAAAGAAAGCAAACAAAAGCAAAAAAAAAAAAGAGTTGTTTAAATGGATAAATTCAATAAATGTGTCAAATCTAAATTTTTGTTTTCTCTTTTATTTTCTTTAGACCTCAGAAGAATAGTAATTAAGCATTACACAGTCAATCTAATGAAGTCTGCGGCATCCCACTTTCTTAACGCCTCATATACTCGAGAGTCTACAATAACAAGGGCGGCAAATATCAAATGGGAAGAAGAAGAAGGAAAAAAGAAGAGTATTCTACCTTTCTCTAGTATAAATATGGACGATATTGATCTTCGTGAAAAACAAACGTCTTTATCCAGAACTATTTTTGTACCTCGGCCTGTTTTTCTCGCCCCACTTCTCCGTGCATCAAGAGTGGGAGATTCCGCTGTTCTTCTTGATGGATTTCCCTGCGCTACTGTTTGTTTTTGTGGTCGTGTTGTGCGAATAGAAGGGCCTCATTGTAATAAAAGTGCTTCAACCGTGCGGCCCTATACCGCTATACTTCTTTCAGATAATACAGGGATCATTGCCGTTATGCAGTATCACATCTCTAAAGATATGATGAGTCCTCTCTCTTTGGAAACAGATGGAGTTTCGGAAGAGGCGGCATTTGTAAGTCCTATTCCTTCTACTATGGAAGCAGCATGCACAACAACAACAACAGCAGCAGGAGGAGAATCCTTTGAGACAGATGAGATTCCGATACGTGAGAATGATTATGTTTTTGTTTTGGGAAGATTAGCTTTTCCTGATAATTCGAAAGAGGTTCGACGTGTTGTACAAGGCGCGTTGGAATTTGTTGCCAATGATGTTTTATTAAACTCAGATAAATGCCTATGTGTACGAGGAAGTGTTCGTCTTATTAATGATATGAATGAGATTCATTACTGGGCACTTAGTGCGCTGGAAACACATAAACGTCTCTTGTCAAAAAAGGTGTTATGACGCATATTCCTTTTTCTTTTTTTTTCTTGTTATTGGAACTTTTTGTTAACAGATTATTTAGAAGATGGTATCTTATTAACCTGGGAACCTTTTACAGAGATTTATTTTGGATCTTCACAATTATTCCTTAAGTGCATCTTATAGAAGTGCGAACCGTATATATATGTTTTTAGACGCGTTTTTTATTTTATTTTTTATTTTTTAATCCTCACTCATCTACCACCACTATCACCTCCTTCTCTTGTACTTTATCCTTAAAGTTCAATTTCACATACTGTATTTATTTTTAAATAATGATAACAGAATCTTTATGGCTTTTAGAATCTTTTTATTCTTTCTTTTTTTTTTTTTATATATATGTACAGGGGAATAATCATTCTGTATGCTACATGTCATATACACATTTAAATTTCTTCTTCTTCATTGTTGTTGTTGTTATTATTGTTGTTGAAGTGTGTTGTTTGTCTTTTTCACTCTTTTCTTTTCTTTTTTTTATTGTAGAAGGAGTGGAACCCATGCGGAAGCGAGAACGTTCTGCCTCTGTCTCACCCGCCCTTCGTGCAGTCCCACCCGGCCACCCACCGCCGCCGCCGCCGCCGCTGAATGACCCCATTTATCACCACCGCCAGCAGCAACAGCAGGAGGAGGCGCAGCAGGTCCTCTTGGACGTTCTTCGCCGCACATCCCTCGCCGAGCAGAAGGACCGCGAGATTGTCGAGTGGCTCACGGACGCCGCCTCGTGGCTGCAGAGCGCCGATGTGACGCTGGCCGGTGCGGGGGCGATGGCGGAGTTGCGGCATCACGTCCTCGCGGTGCTGCACACGATGCCGTGGTGGCGCATCGTCGAGGCGGTGGAGACGCGGCGCGGGCCGACGGCGACGACGCGGGCCGTCACTCGATGGCACTCGCGGCTGCAACTCGCGTTCGAGCGGGTGTGCGTGGTGCTGCTGGAGCAGTCGCCGCATGCGGTGCGGGGGGTGTTGGGCGTCGCGCTGCGGCCCTTCCGCCAGCGGCTGCCGGTGCGGGACGGCGCGAGGCGACTGCTGCCGGGCGACACAGTCCTGCGGGTGATGAACACCGTGGCGGCGCGATACCCCGCGGCGGTGGTGCTGGACGCGTTGGAGCGCTGTTTGCCCGCACTTGTGCCGCGGAGGCGATGGGCCGAGCCGCGACATCACACCGCCTGCATTGGACTACTACTGCATCTCGCCCTAGAGGCACATATCCCGCTCTTCACAACACAGGAGTGGGGGGATGATGATGGCGGAAACACAGCGGAGCAACAGAGGGAGGAACAGCAACAGGGCCCAGCAGAGGATAGTGGAACAGATGGAGCATCTGTGGTAGCAAGAACAGCAGCAGCAGCAACAGCAACAGGAATGCTTTCTTCTTCTTCCTCTTCTTCGCAACGACATCATCACCTACGACCTGTGGAGATGAGAGCACCTATCATGTCTGCAAGTGATGTAGATTACAGTGATGCATCTATTAATATGGCATCATCATCGGCAAACACAGAATCTTTTGCAACACGTTTTACAGAATTTACAATGCAAAATAATAAAATGTTGGCCTATCGTAATGAAATTATTCGTTTTGTGCTACAACAACTTCTGGATATGGAACTTTCTCTTCAAAATAATGATACCTCATTTCTACAAGACGTGATGCCTTCCACAGCTTCTTTTTCTTCTTGTGGGACAGCTGATTGTTTACGCTCATTAGCAAATATTTCTTTTGGTTCTGTGAGTAAAAGACCAAGTGACAAACCTTTTATAGAAATTCTCAGAAGTTGTACAGGTCTTGTATTTCGTCGTCTAGCAGATGATTTAGTACGACAACAAGCAGCAGGAGTTTGTGGAAATGCTGAATGGTGGCGTGAAATACTCGCTTTTCATCTCACATCTGTATTAAGGATGGAATGCCCTATTTGTTTACTGTATTTGGCTCCAAGTTTAGCTCTTCTTGGTAATGAGGAAGAGACGGTGGATATGATGCATAAATTAGTCTCACTCGTCACTAAAGGATTTCAACCCGTACAACAGAATAACTGGCGAGGAGCAGCGGCAGCAACTGCTGCAGGTCCAGCCCGTGTGCGAATGGCACCCCCTACAGTAGGACCATTAATGATTCCAATGACACACCGTGTACGTGCAGCACTTTATTTATATCCACTTTTTCGTTTTATGCGTGATCGTCTTGGAAATGGTGAAGGAACTCGTAAACGTCTTCAAAAATGGGTGGTGCAGGAACTGAAAAATACACCTTCATCATCGACACCAAGTCTTCTCGTTCAAGTACTTTTTGCACAATGTGCCGCTATATCTGAACTTCTTGATGCAGATCTTGTTGAGGAGATGGAACCACACACTTCAGAATCACGTGCCCTACGTTTATTAATAGATAAGTATCTAATTATACCTACTACAGAGTCAAAAATGACTGATAAAAATAATGAAAATGTATCATTTACTACTATATCTAATATTGATACTTCCGAAACGGATACTGTTGTTGCTGTTCCAGAGTCTAATATTAGACGACTTAATCTCAAAAAGATGGAAACTGCAGGATTGTTATACCCAAACTTAATGGAAGAATGCCCATGGGATTGGCGACGGTACCAAACTGGAAGAACTGTTGACCATTAACAAACAGTTGTATATGCAATACTTTCTTCTGTTTTCTTCATTGAGAAGGTTTCTGTGTGTGTGTGTGAAAATGTGTGTCTCTGTTTTTTGCATGTATACATATACATATATACACATATATATATACATATATGCATCGGAACCCACACGAAAGAATGAGAAATAATGAAAGAGAAAGAGAGAGAGAGAGAGGGAGAGAGAGAGAGAGAGAGAGAGG